GCTTCACCAAGATCTTTCATATCAAAATGGCTATTAAGCATATTTTTAGTTTTTACAATGATATGCAAATTAGAACCAAATATAAGTAAATCATCCACATAGAGACTAATAATGACATGTGAATTTTCTTCAGATTTATAGTAGATGCATTTATCACATTCATTCGTTTTATAGTCATTCTCAATCATGCAGGAATCAAATTTCTCATGTCACTGTTTAAGGGCCTGTTTTAAGCCATATAGGGATTTAACTAACTTGCACACTTTGCTTTCTTGACTGGGTTCCACAAAACCCTCAGGTTGATCCATATAGATTTCTTCACCCAAGTCTCCATTTAAAAATGCTGTTTTAACATCCATTTGATGAATTTTTAGATCATGAATTGCAGCCACTGCAATTAATAATCTAATGGATGTAACTTTAGTAACTAGAGAAAATGAATCAAAAAAGTCAAGATTTGCTTATTGTTTAAAACCTTTTGCAACAAGCCTTACTTTATATTTATCAATAATTCCATCCGATTTAAGTTTTTTCTCAAAACCCATTTACAGCCAATAGTTTTACAACCTGGTGGTAAATCTACTAATACCCAAGTTTTATTGGATAATAATGATTTCATCTCATCATTATAGCCTCGTTCCAAAAAATAGAGTCAGGAGATGCCAAAGCTTCTTGTAAAGCTAATGGAGTTTCCTCCACATTAAAAGTATGATAATCAGGGCCAAAATCTTTTTCTAATCTAGCTTTTTTACTCCTTCTAGGTTCAAAAACTACAGTTTCTTGGTTTTGTAAAAGAGGAGTAGAGGAACCAGTTTCAGATAAAATATTTTCTTGACAATTTTGACCCCCACCATTTTTAGATTTACAAGGAAATTTTTCTTCATGAAAAATTGCATCACCTGATTCAAAAATTATTTTGTTTTCAATATCAAAAAATCTATAGGCTGTACTATTTTTTGCATATCCAAGAAAAGCACAAGTGGCAGCTTTCACACCTAATTTAGATCTTTTAGGGTCCACAAATCTAACAAAAGCTAGACAACTCCAAACCCTCAAATATCTCAAATTTGGCTTATGCCCTTTCCACAACTCAGAAGGTGTAACTTTTGTTTTTTTTATGTAGCACTCTATTCATAACATAACATGCAGTTAAAATTGCTTCTCCCCACAAATTTGAAGGAGCACTTGCTTCAATTAGCATAGTATTTGTTAAATCAGTTAAAGTTCTATTTTTCCTTTCTGCTACACCATTAGATGCAGGTGAATATGGTGGAGTAGTTTCATGGATTATTCCCAAAGACTGAGCAAACGAGTTGAATCCAAAAGATTCATACTCCTGGCCTCTATCACTTCTATATCTTTTAATCTTTTTACCGAATTGATTTTCAACTTCAAGAAGGAATTCTTTAAATTTTTCAAAAGCATCACTTTTATTTTTCAACAGTATACATAAGTGTATTTTGAAAAATCATCAATAAAAGTGATAAAATATCTATTTCCACCACGTGTTAAAATTCCTTCAAATTCTCATAAATCAGTGTGAATTAATTCTAACAATTCAGTATTTCTCACCACACTTTTATGAGGCCTTTTAGTTATTTTTGCTTGACTGCAAACTTCACATTTCTCAAAATTATTTGTTAGTCTGGGAATTAATCCTAAACTACTCATGACTCCCACATATCGGCTATTAATATGACACAAACGAGCATGCCAAAAATTCATAAAAGACAGTATGTAAACAGAAACATGCGCTTTCTTATTCTCAACATTTAATTTAAACAGTCCATCACATGCATACCCATTCCCCATAAATATGCCTTTTTTAGTGATTACATATTGGTCAGATTCAATAGGCTACTTAAAACCAGCTTTGTTGAGCAAATAACTCAACATCAAATTTTTCCTCATGGACGGTGTATACAACACATCTTTTAAAACAAGCACACATCCAAAGGTAGATTTTAGCTCAACATCCCCACACCAGAGCACCTTGGTTAAACTGGAGTCACCAAGCATAATAGTCATTTCCTCATTAAAAGGAGTAAAATCTTTGAACCAATCTTTATCATAACAGACATGCCTATTGGCACCAGAGTCTGCCCACCACCCTTCCATAGATTGAACCATAAAAATATCTACAATCATAGCCACAAATGGTTCCTTGGTAACATTAGCCTGTGATCGAGACTGTTATTTTCGAAATTTGCAAGTTCGAGCAAAATGTCTACTTTTGCCACACACAAAACATGTCACATTTGTCAGATCTTGTGAAGGGGGTTCTTGGTTCCATTTATTTTGCCTCGGGTAATTTTTATTTTATGGCCTTCCAACATTTTTCCAACTTTTCTTAACTAGCTTCAAGTGACTATTTTTATGAAATCGACCTTTAGGTAAAGTATTTCCAGAAGTTAAATTTACCTTTGTAGTGGAATGCTCTTGTGTCATAAACACATCTTGTCCTCATGCTTCCTCCTCCACCCGAATCCATGTGATTAGAGTCTCCAATGACGTCTCTTTTTGCTTGTGACGCATTAACATCTGGAACTCCCTCCAAAATGATGATAGTTTGTCAACAATACCTGCTATAACAAGATTGTCTCCAATTTTGATGCCTTTTGATCTAACTTTAGCCACTAGCATCTGAAAATCTTGAACTTGCTCCACCACTGATTTTCCATCTATCATTTGATAGCGGAAAAAACAGTTTGCAGCATATTTTTTAACGCCTGCCTCTTCAGTGTCATATTTATTCTGCAAGGCTTTTCAAATTTTCTTAGCAGTGGTGTAAGTAGTATCATAATAATCATAAAATTGATCTAAAAGACAATTCAAAAGATAATATCGACATTTATACTCATTTGTGTTGTATTTCTCGATTTTTTCAAGATGAGCGGCATACTCCTCGTCGGTCATCTCTTCAGTGGAGACTTTGTTCGGATTTCTCAGTCAGGATATAGGCCACCTTGAGGAGACTGAGATAGAAAAGCACCTTGCCTTTCCATCTCTTGAAATGGGCTCCCTTGAACCGGAAGGGCTTGTTGAGATCACCGGTATTCTCATTGGGCTTCTCCAATACTGGCTCCATGAATCTTACTGTTTGAATCTCCTTAAAATTGTTGGTTACAAATAAAACACTAGAAAATACAAATAATAAAAATTACAATAACTATTGTAAGGGCTAAGGCGTAGGAAATTTGTTCTCTTTAAAGAGATTCAAACCCTCTGAGGTTAGGCAAAGCCTCACACTGGTGCAACAGAAAAAATCTTGACTTGTCCCTCATAGGATACAACAGCCCGACTAAGTCGTATGGTTTACCAATACTGCACAATTGGTTGAACCCAAAGTTTTATCACATACACCCTTTTTTATTTGCCTGATAATCGCACATAAAACATAATAAAGCAAACAAAACTTCTTCACCCCTCCAAGATAAGAAGTTAGACCAATTTATAGGAGATGAAAGCTTGGTGGACAAGATTCTTGGAGGATGATTCTTGGAAGTTGCTTGGAGGCTCCTTGAAAGTAGCTTGGAGGATAAGACTTGACTCTTGGAAGACTTAGAAGAAGACTTGACTAGGCAAAGACTTAGAAGACTTGAAGGATTCTTGGACACCAATAAAAGATTAACTTGGAGGAAAAGAAAACGAATCAAACCAATAACACATTATAATATTGAAATATCTGCTAACACTTTCATACACTCAAGTTAATACACATGTATGGTGATTATCGACAGCTCATTAGGCAGTGAATAACATTAAACTAGTTGTAGTAGAACTATTTATTTTTTCTATCTTTTAGTGACCATTTCCATATCACTTTGTGCATTTTTGAACACTAGAATCTGAAACAAAGAAAAGAAAGGAAGAAAGAAAGTGAAGTCTGAAAAGGTAATGCATTGCATGGGAATGTACTATATAGGTACTAAATATTCTTATATATATATATATATATAGAGAGAGAGAGAGACTAGTCAAATTCAAAATTTAGACAAATTGTTGTGCCAAACAAAAACCAAGGAGTCAAAAGTACTTTGGGAAAAAGAAAGGAAGAAACGCCCTCCTGGAATGGATGTGGAAAGTCAAAAGTTATAGAGGTGTTTTTGTTCAAAAAAAACTTAGAGGTGTTTAAAATCATCTAAATAAATATATTTTTTAATTTTTTATAAAATATATATATATATATATATATATATAATAATGTAATAAAAAATAATAATATTGAAGTGTTTCTAATACATTTTTTTTTCTTCTTCGTTTTCCTATCATTATCTTTGGTAGGGGATACTTTGCCCCTTAATATGAAAACTGGACTAACTTTACAGATTTGTAAGTCAAGGCCCAATTTTAATAGGCCTAGCTACCTCAAATGAAAGTTGGTTTAATCTACTCTTCCAACCCATTTTGTTTGCCCTCATTGTGGTTCCCATATCGACTGGATCTTGTAATTCCTCGTTGACAACCAGACACCCAAGGGCCATTGGTGGCAATGGAAAAGCACACAGTTCAGTTTGATTTACTAGAATAAAATAATTATTCTTTTAATCTTTTTTGTTTTTTGGTAAAAGTTTCTGTTAATCTTAAATGACATGGCTAACAACCCAGTGGAATCAACACTCATCAACACTCAGGGCACACCAACTCTATGCATCATCATTTCAATTCTAAAAGCCAACGGATACATCAAGAAATGCAAATTTTAAATGTGATACCTGGGCAATTTCAGGAAAATGTTTTGTGGCCCGAATTTTTATAGCTCGAATGTGTCAAAACGATATCGTTTTAAGTGTTTCGAGCCATTCGAGTCATGATTTTTCAGGCCATCTAGTCCGCTGTCATGACAGCACTTTACTTTTCCAGCCTTAAAATACATAAAATGTAAGGTCATCAGTTTCCCAATAATCCATCATAAAATCTTCTAAAAGAACATTGCCTGCTTTTCAAGTAATTAGTTCAACAGGATAACATTTAGACTAAATAAAAAAGAACTTAGACGCTTTAGACAAAATATGCATTGCAAAATGTGACTCCATAAATCATTCTCCACTGAACAAACACAAAATTCCACGTTTCAACCAATGTACAGCCTTGGCAACCTGTCTATTTCCTCAATTACATTATGAATACAACCCATTTAAATAAAGCCGAGATACATTTCAAAGAGATGAAGGGTAAGTCTATCATAATCAACACCGTCATTATAAAGCTTTCGTGCATATGATAACACTAACAAAAACTGATACAAAAGCCACTAAAGCTCCCTGTCTGGAAAGGGCAAATTCGGCCCACGTCAAGGGCTTTGTGACCTGGACTACTACCTTCTGAAAACGTTCATTCAGTTCATCTAGCGATCTAGTGTTGTCAATCACTATGTCTGCCTGGGTAATTTTCACATCCAGAGGCATCTGAGCTTGTATCCTGTTTCTGGCATCTTCAACGGATGTTCTGTCTCTTGCCATAAGTCGCTGAAGCTGTGTTTCAGGATCAACCCATACAACAATAATGGGTTTTGTCCACTTGTCCATCTTGGCCTCAAACAACAAAGGGATATCAAGAACAATAACCTTACAGCCCTTCAACCATAGCTTCAAAATTTCCCAAAAAATACCAGATGAAATATAAGGTGCCAATAGCCTGCAAAGATATAATAGCCAAAACTTTAGTCAAAAAATTAACACCTATCATACCACATCATTTCTCTTGTGATCTAGAACCAAGCAAAACTTGAGGCAATGCCAAAAAAATTTTAACGGGGATAATTTACCTATCATCCCGCAACCAAAAAAAAATACTCAATTTGGCAAAGATAGTCATATCAGAACTTCAAGGCTCAAGCCTGACAGGGCTTTAAAAGAACTGCTTATGCTTGCTGAAGTAATCTAAAGAATCTGCTCGGAGTAATAAAAACCACTTTGTTTATATTTGTTTTTTTTTATTTTTTTTATTTTTTATTATCTAATTGAGCATTTCATCACCAATTTTGTTAAAAAGAAACCAATGCTAAATGCAGTCCTTAACAAGGTTTGTCAATTTAAACCTTGCAGACATACAATTTCATATAATTAGAGCATGAGAAATTAATACTACTATCCCATAAGCCAGAAACAAGCCAGACATGACATCTATTAGACGCATGCAGATTAGGAAAAAAACTAGTACTTTCCTACATCCAAATAATATGAAATGCAGAAAAGAAAACAATTAATTCATTATGCATTGGATATCCAAATAGACCCAAACTATCTGTGCACCTGTTAAGAAGTTGGCGCTTGTCGGGATCAGAAAATACTATGCAGCCGAGCTTTGGCCTATCAACTTCTTCATTCTCTTGTAAAATATCCTCACCAAATGCTGCCACAACCGTTTTCCACCCACCAGTGCCTTTCTTTAGAACATCCTGTGAATTAACCCCCCTTGCATTTATTAACATTGACAAAATGGTGCATTTTCTAAAGTGAATTTTGATACACAAAACAGACTCTATTATTTGCAAACCTAGTCAGCAAGTATAGAAATTGGATGCTACAAGTCATATAATCAAAATTGACAAAATAATTTAAATTAGGATTTAAGAAGATGAATTTCAAGAGAGGAAATAGATAGATGAAATTACGCGAGCGACGAGGTCGGCATCGACGACGGGGATGCCATGAGACTTGAAAAGATTGGAGACAGTGCTCTTCCCTGATGCGATTCCACTAGTCAATCCTACTATCCTCATCTCCACACAACCCCTCTTTTGATGAAGGTGATTGAATACAGAAGAATAATACAAACTACTTGCCAATTCGGCGTAGTCCAAATTGATTGCTTGTTTGCCTGCTCTCACTGCCTCAACTTCATAGGTTGGTGACTGCCATTAAGCTAACGGTCATCGCGATTAGGGGTGAGCATGGTCTGGATAATCCGTTATCTACGGTTCCTGAAAAATTGGAACCAATTCAATCCGTTTAAATTATGGAACCAATCCGTTTAAACACAGATTGGATCAATTGAGGACCACGGATTCACATAATTAAATAACAAAAAAAAAATATAGAACATTTAAAAGCAATAAACAATAGCAACAAACAAAAGCAATAAAACTAGATACACATTAAACAAAGTAGAGTTCTCCTCTGTATTAAAACTAAACATAACATCAAGCAAAGGCAATAAGAAAAATGGTTTTAGACAAACAAAAGCAACAAAACTCCATAAACAGAAGCAAGAAATAATTGGAAATGATTAAACAATATTATCTATCTCAAGACCATGAATATGATATACGACATATCAATCAGTGGCCAACAACAAATAAAAAGATAGACAGCAATAAAGGTATGATTCAATTATAAAACATGCACCTTCTTTTTTAGTGCTCTAATTTTTTTTATCAATATCTGGAACAGGATCTGAAGGAGTTGAACATTGTGTTGAGTTTAAGGGAGGTGCAACCACAGCAGAATTTGCAGAGATAGCGAGGTCATTCAACTGAGATACCACTGGCCCAACAGATTCCAATCCCAATCCCAATCCCAATCCCAATCCCAATCCCAATCCCTGACTTGCATCTTCATCCGACGTTTCATTCCTATCTGAGTTTTTACCCTTCTCAAGAGCAGCCAGCACCAGTAACAAAGTGTGGCCTTTTAGCCTCTGTTAATGAGTTACATTTTGAGATGAGATGGAAACCAACAGTGTCACCGAGAGAGAAAGAGAGAGCTCACCGAGAGAGATATAGAGCAAGAGACCAAGCCGCTAGCGATCTAATATGAGATGGAAATCCACCGATCTAATCTGAGATGAAATCACAAGAATAGAGAGAGAGAACTCAATCTGAGAAAGAGAAGAGCGAGAGAGCTTACTGATCTGAGATGGAAACCAACAAACAAGGTCACCGAGAGAGAGAGAGAGACAGAGCTCACCGATCTGATCTAGAGAGAGAGAACTCAATCTGAGAAAGAGAAGAGCAAGAGAGCTTACTGATCTGAGATGGAAACCAACAAACAATGTCACCGAGAGAGAGAGAGATAGAGCTCACCGATCTGATCTGAGATGAAATCACAAGAATAGAGAGAGAGAACTCAATCTGAGAAAGAGAAGAGCAAGAGAGCTTACTGATCTGAGATGGAAACCAACAAACAATGTCACCGAGAGAGAGAGAGATAGAGCTCACCGATCTGATCTGAGATGAAATCACAAGAATAGAGAGAGAGAACTCAATCTGAGAAAGAGAAGAGCGAGAGAGCTTACTGATCTGAGATGGAAACCAACAAACAATGTCACCGAGAGAGAGAGAGATAGAGCTCACCGATCTGATCTGAGATGAAATCACAAGAATAGAGAGAGAGAACTCAATCTGAGAAAGAGAAGAGCGAGAGAGCTTACTGATCTGAGATGGAAACCAACAAACAATGTCACCGATAGAGAGAGAGAGATAGAGCTCACCGATCTGATATGAGATGAAATCAGAAGAACAACGAGAGAGAACTCAGTTTGAGAAAGAGAAGAGAGAGAGAGTACCCAGAGAGATGAGAGGCGTGTGATAGGTCGAATTAGGGTTAGGGTATATTATGTGGAAGGGTGTATAATATAAATATAGACTATTTGTATACGGTTTGGATTGGTTCCAATCCGAAACCATGGAATTCAATCCGGAACTAATATGTGAAATACGGATTTTTAAATTTTTAATCCGGAACCGAACCATGGATTCAAAAAACTAATCCAAACCTACCAGATTGGACTGGACCGGATCGGATTACAGAGTATATGGATTCCTTGCTCAACCCTAATCGCGATGAAGAAACCCATTTTGCCCCCAAAAATATGAGGAACTTGCGATGCTCATGTGCACATTCAAGAAATGGGTCACATGATCAATTGTTTATTAAATGGAGAAAAAAAAATGTTTGAGGTTGAATAAAAAAAATAATTATTTATTTATTTTTATTTTTTTAAATTTGATCTACTATTTGATATAATATGTGATAATTTTCAATTTATGATATACTCAATATCTAGTTGCATCATGTGTAGATCTACGCTATCACTCAATTAGAACATACTATTTAATCGATATATCAATATTATAATTTTGTCACATAAGACATAATTAGTTGTTTTTAAGAGGGGGTTCGGATTATCATGCCTTGATTGGTCTAGATAAATCATGAACATTAGAAGATATTACTTGACGCCGCATTACAATAAAACTAAATAGTGGCGATAAATTGTTAGACAATACTATGAATATTTTTTTTCCTTCTAATTTCATTGCTTCACCTTCCTCAATAATACTTGGAGTCGCAACATGAAAACATGATTGATTATGTGAACCACTCAAAAATGTTATTCAAAAATTTACATGATTTTAATGCAAAAGATTCGAGACCTATCAATAAAAATATTCATACAAAATTCACTTTGTTGAGTTCTACTCTTTTTCTTTTTCTTTTTTGTGTGTGTGTTTGTTTTATGGCCATAAATATTTAAATAGTTGAGACCAATGTAAAATGTGATTCTAGACTGGGATATGATTTTCCCAAATCATGCATTGGATAGATGCCCGGGCATTGAAAAGGAAGGACGCTTTCAGAGGCTAAAGGCCATGGGGAGATATCTTCTATGATCTATGGATCTCCGATCAAGAAATCGAAATCCCCTAAAGCCCCTTTTATTAGGATCAATGTAGTTGTTTGTAAACCTAGAGCAATCGCATGATGAACCAAAAAGTCTCCAAGATTTATTGTTAAGAATAGTATTGAAACGCAAAGCATGTTAAAAAATGAAAAAAACCAAAAAAAAAAAAATGATAAATAAAATGTGAAAAATGTAATTATTGCAAAAGCTAGCAGCAAGCGCATCTGGTGTAGTGGTATCATAGTACCCTCCCACGGTACTGACCAGGGTTCGATTCCCTGGATGCACAATCATCTTCTTTTTTTTTTCCCCCAAAAAATAAATTAGAAAATCTCAAAAACTATCCTCCGAAACTCAAAGTCTCACAAGTCAGACGAATCGATCATCTCTGTTCTTTCTTTGAAAATCCGAAGTCTCAAACAATTCTTTACCTTCTAGTACTTTTTCTCTGAAACTCAAATCTCACAACTAAAGATGATTCTTTAACCACCTATGAGATGAACTATCTCTAGTTTTCTTTGAAAACCCAAGTCTCAGACAATTCTCACTCATCTATGAAATGAGACCATTCTCACATGTCATCACAGCAGCGAACAGACTGATCAATCTCTTGGAAATATGCAATTCACCCTCTCAAATCTACCAAATCCAGGCTCAACTCATCATCCAAAACCTCTACCCAGACACCGACATTGCTTACCACTTCATCACTGCTTGCCAATCTCTGGGTCTCACTAACTCGGCCCATCTTCTCTATCCCCAAATCCAGACACCCAATGTCTTCATTTGCAATACCCTCATCAAAGCCTTTTCTCACACCCAGTCCCCTCTCAAATCCATTTCTATCTGCAGCCAAATGCACAAGAACTCCATTCTTCCAAACAACTACACTTTCCCTTTCGTTCTCGAGGCCTTCTCTAACCTCCGCGACCTCAAACAAGGGCAGTGCGTCCATATCCAGATCATAAAAATGGGTCATTTTAATTATATTTATGTTCAAAACTCTTTATTGAATGTGTACGCATCGGGTGGGAATATGGACTTGTGCCAGAAAGTGTTTGATGAAATACCTCAGAGAGATGCGGTCTCATGGACTGTTATGATTACTGGGTATCGAGAAGCTGGGAAGTTTGATGATGCCCTGGTTGCTTTTGAGAAGATGCAATATGCTAGTGTGGTGCCAAATCAAGTGACTATGGTGAATGTTTTGTCCGCGTGCTCGAGTTTTGGGGCTATTGACATGGGTATTTGGATACATGGTTTTATAAAGAGGAGGGGCTGGGTACTGGATGTGATTTTGGGAACTTCTTTGATTGATATGTATGGAAAATGAGGGAGAAATGAAGAGGGTTTGGCTGTTTCCAAAGCATGAAAGAAAAGAATGTCTTTACATGGAATGCCCTTATTAAAGGTCTAGCTTTAGCAAAGAGTGGGCAGGAGGCGGTTTGGTGGTTTTCTTGAATGGTGCAAGAAGGGGTTAAGCCAGATGCAGCAACTTTGATTGGAGTTCTGTGTGCTTGTAGTCATTCTGGATTGGTACAAATGGGACAACTAATCTTTAGTACAATACTTGATGGAATTTATGGATTTTCACCAGCGATCAAGCATTATGCGTGTTTGGTTGATCTGTTTGCATGGTCTGGATATCTCGAAGAAGCTTTCAAAATCATAAAAGAAATGCCCTTTGAGCCGACCAAACCAGTCTGGGGAGCTTTTCTAGCTAGTTGTAGAGCTCATGGAAACCTAGAATTGAGTGAGTTTGCAGCTTGGAAACTCATAGAGTTGCAGCCAGAGAATAGTGATTATTATGTTGTGCTGTCTAATCGTTATGCATTGATGGGAAGATGGAGTGATGTGGAAAAGGTTAGGATGCTGATGAAAGAGAGGGGACTTAAGAAGAACTTAGGTTCTAGCTCAATAGAGCTTCAACCTCAGGATCACGTTCATGAGTTGTTAGCACAATAAGTCTGTATGTAGCATTCACATAGAGAGAGAAAATTGGCATGTATGCAATTCAGCTGTTTGAATTCTTTCTTTGGATATAACAAACTTAGCAGTAGCGATTAAGAGTTCATTTGGCTTCTAAATGAACTCTCATGTCGCCTAGGAAGCACGGATACGGATACGGGATACGGGTACAATACGATACGGATACGGCGATACGGCAAAATTCAAAAAAGTAGGATACGGATACAGTGGGGATACGTTCAAAAAAAATATTTTTTTTCACAATTTTTAGTAATGTAGCATACACAAAAATAAAACTTCAACAATTTTTAGTAATGTAACATACATAAAATAAAACTTCAACAATTTTTAGAAAGAGAGGGGACTTAAGAAGAACTTAGGTTCTAGCTCAATAGAGCTTCAACCTCAGGATCACGTTCATGAGTTGTTAGCACAATAAGTCTGTATGTAGCATTCACATAGAGAGAGAAAATTGGCATGTATGCAATTCAGCTGTTTGAATTCTTTCTTTGGATATAACAAACTTAGCAGTAGCGATTAGAGTTCATTTGGCTTCTAAATGAACTCTCATGTCGCCAATTCAGATTATTGAACACATAAAACATGTATTGATCTCTACTAATAAGATATTATTCTCACACTTCAACCATTCCACCAGCACATGAACCCGTCATATTTTTATTTCCAGCTGTTAAAACTCTTGAACGGTTTGAACAAAAAATGATTTTTGCACAAAACAAAACCTCTTGGACTGTTCTATATATACAGAGTTATCTCTTTCAAGATAAGAACTACGTCCTTATAATGGATAAACATTAAACAATAACAGGATACAAATACAACAATATAATTATATTCAAAGATACTGCAAACAGAACACTATCGATTTTACAAATCTCATAGATGCTGCAAACAGATACA